AGTCACTATATTATGTTGTCATGTTCTAGGAGCAGTCTTACAAGACCGACAAAATGAACTGGTGATAAAGCGAGTTGGAAACGCAGTTAGCTAGACTAGCAATGGCCACAATATTTATCTAAAAGCAACAACCACAAGTCGAAAATGCAGGTATAATTTGGCTAAATAAACAACTCACCTCAATCAGATTAGTCCTCAATATATAGTAAGCAGCTGAAATAAAGAGAACAAACTAGCATGAGGCTAAAAAAGCTTGGTGCTGAAATGAGACACGCGCCCATGGAACCACCACGTGGAGCAGACTAACTGCACAGGACAGGGGTGAGCTGGGTAGCTAGCATGCTAGCTATCTAGCAAAGATGTGCAAAAAGTGAAACGCAAGTAATAAAGCGCTGCTCTGCCTTCTTAACAACACTATCAACAAGGCAGGTCCTACAGGCCCTAGTTTTGTCGCACCTGGACTACCTTCCAGTTGTGTGGTCAGGTGCCACAACGATGGACTTAGGAAAATTACAATTGTCTCAGAACAGGGCAGCACGGCTGGACCTTAAATGTACACAGGGAGCTAAAATTAAAGATGTGTATGTCAATCTCTCATGGCTCAAAGTGGAGGAGAGATTGACTTCATCAGTACTTGTTTTTGTAAGAATTGTTGAGAAACTGAATGCACCAAGCTGTCTGTTTAAACTACTAGCACACAGCTCGGACACCCATGCATACCCCACAAGACATGCCACCAGAGGTCTCTTCACAATCCCCAAGTCCAGAACAGACTATGGGAGGCGCACAGTACTACATAGAGCCATGACTACATGGAACTCAATTCCACATCAGGTAACTGATGCAAGCAGCAGAATCAGATTTAAAAACCAGATAAAAATACACCTTATGGAACAGCGGAACTGTGAAGAGACAGACACACAGGTACAGACACGCATACACACACAAACGCTAGCACTCTACACACATGTACATTGAAATAACGTTGTATGGTAGTATTATATTTTGAATTGTAGATATGTAGTGGTGTAATAATGTTATATGATGTACTGTTTTATCTTTTGTTTTATGTGTAATGTACAGTGCATTTGGAAAGTATTCTACCCCTTCCCCCTTTCCACATTTTGTTATGTTACAGCCTTATTCTAAAATTGATCAGAAAAAAAGAATGTAATCAATCTACACACAATACCCCATAATGACAAAGTATTCAGACTCTTTGCTATGAGACTCGAAATTAAGCTCAGGTATTTGTATTTGTTTTTTTATGGATCCCCATTAGCCAAGGCAGCAGCTACTCTCCCTGGGGTCCAGCAACATTTTAAAAACATTACAATACATTCATAACAGATTTCACAACATATTAAGTGTGTGCCCTCAGGCCTCTATTCTACTACCACATAACTATAACACAAAATCCATGTGTACCTGTGTATAGTGCGTATGTTATCGTGTGTTTGTATGCATGTGTCTATGTTTGTGTTGCTTCACAGTCAGGTGCATCCTGTTTCCATTGATTATCCTTGAGATGTTTCTACAACTAGATTGGATTCCACCTGTGGTAAATTCAATTGATTGGACATGATTTGGAAAGGCACACACCTGTCTATATAAGGTCCCAAAAACCAAGCCATGAGGTCAAAGGAATTGTCCGTAGAGCTCAGAGACAGGATTGTGTCGAGGCACAGATCTGGGGAAGGGCACCAAAAAATGTCTGCAGCATTGAAGGTCCCCAAGAACATAGTGGCCTCCATCATGCCAGGTCGCAGTTGTAAATGAGAACTTGTTCTCAACTGGCTTACCTGGTTAAATAAAGGTGAAATAAAAAAAATAAAAAATTCTTAAATGGAAGAAGTTTGGAACCACCATTACTCTTCCTAGAGCTGGCCGCCCGGACAAACTGAGCAATCAGGGGAGAAGGGCCTTGGTCATGGAGGTGACCAAGAACCCGATGGTCACTCTGACAGAGCTCCAGAGTTCCTCTGTGGAGATGGGAGAACCTTCCAGAAGGACAACCATCTCTGCAGTACTCCACCAATCAGGCCTTTATGGTAGATTGGCCAAACGGAAGCCACTCCTCAGTAAAAGGCACATGACAGCCTGCTTGGAGTTTGCCAAAAGGCACCTTAAGGACTCTCAGACCAACAAGATGCTCTGGTCTGATGAAACCAAGATTGAACTCTTTGGCCTGAATGCCAAGCGTTACGTCTGGAGGAAACCTGGCACCATCCCTACGGTGAAGCATGGTGGTGGCAGCATCATGCTGTGGGGATGTTTTTCAGTGGCAGGGACTGGGGGACTAGTCAGTATCGAGGGAAAGATGAGTGGAGCAAAGTACAGAGAGATCCTTGATGAAAACCTGCTCCAGAGCGCTTAGGACCTCAGACTGGGGCGAAGGTTCACCTTCCAACAGGACAACGACCGTAAGCACACAGCAAAGACAATGCAGGAGTGGCTTCGGGACAAGTCTCTGAATGTCCTTGAGTGGCCCAGCCAGAGCCCGGACTTGAACCCGATCGAACATCTCTGGAGATACCTGAAAATTGGAACACACCCTGGCTCTACTGGTGCCATGTTTTACTGGATTTATGGCCTGCCTTTATACATGAATGACTGACGGTAGCGGGAAGAAGAGGCTCGCAAAATCTCTGAAATTCGCATGTCTGAATTTGCATGATTGCATCATGGACATGTAGGTCTTATTCAGTTATGATATATTGTTAGGCTACTTAATAGTTAGTTATAGGCCCTATTAGCATTGGGCTTTTAGTGCCAGTCCTGGACCTATAACCTTACCAGTTAACCAGATGTTTTTCTTATTTCAATCAATGTTTCCTCTCTTTTCCCAGGGAGGGTAATTTCCGATTGCAGAACAGGTGGGTCTTTGCTGCCGTCATTCTCCCAATTGGTTAAAGTTGCTATATTGGGACCTACTCCATGTACCTGAACATCCCTAAGAACCTAAATTATGTTTTTGTTTATGCCCTGAATGCTACCATAACCCACCAGAAACTGATAAACCCTATTAGCCTCCTTCACTTGGATGAGATTAACGTTGTTCATCAGTCCGATTGTCCGATCAATAGCCTATTGAATTGCTAGGCTATAGCCTAATAATGTGATCTTTATCGTAATAATGATATATTTCTCTTAATAACAATATTGTTATTGCAATGATGATGTATTTATTGTAATAATAATATTTTATTGTAATAACGAGATCATGGATTATTTCATTATAATTATATATTTATTATTTCATAATAACGTGATCTTATCTCATAATAATGCTTGAAATATAATATGGTTATGGTATAATATGGTCTGATAAGAACAATATTGGCAGGCCAGGCATATAGCCATTATGTGGTGATAATGTATTAGGCCTCATGCACAAACCTCATTCCTATGTGGTCCTCTGTAGCTCAACTGGTAGAGCACGGCGCTTGAAACGCCAAGGTAGTGGGTTCGAGCCCCAGGACCACCCATACACAAAAATGTATGCACGCATGACTGTAAGTCGCTTTGGATAAAAGTGTCTGCTAAATGGCTTATTATTATTTACAGAACTGTTTTTATTAGTTAATGGTAAAAAAAAAAATTCTGAGTGGTAAAGCTTGGCTTGCTTTTTGACTGCGAAAGTGATCTTGACTCAGATAAGGTTGGTGACCACTGCTCTAGACCAAGTTTCTCCAACAGGTCGATCGAAAATTACCAGGTGCTCACAGCCCACCTATGAGTAGCTCGCCAAACACACAAACTGTCATGAACAAATCTCACAAGTATCAGACACTGTATGCTCCAAGCTACTATCCAATCAAAATAACATTAACATTATCACACCCCTGGTAAGCGACAATTGGCTTAAAAAGCCAAACTTAACACAATATCTGCCAATACATTTCCAGCAATATTGCCCCGGTCTGTCAATGTGGTGTGCCATTTATCGATCATTTTGTGTAGCCAGTTAGATGGTAGACAGAAAGACTACCTGGCAGAGTTATATTATGATTATTTGTATCAATCAGTATGCAGCGGGAAGTAGGGTGCTGAGGGTGCTGCAGCATCCCCTGAAAAATCGAAAATTGAAACAAAATGTGCACTGGGCCTTTATTAGTCCTGTATTAGCAGACTGATATATCAACACATCAAGGACCTGGGGAAGAGTTGCAGGGGAGATGAGAAGAGAAGAATGTGCCTATTTGAAAGCTAGAAAAAATATAGTAGGTCGGGATTATTTTTCTTTTTTTAAGTAGCTCTTTAAGAAAATGGTGGAGAACCCTGCTCTAGACCATCACTCTAACTACATTTGCTCTCCACTAGAGAGCGGCAAAGTCTCTCTTTCACAATGTCTGTTCCTATCTGCTGTCTCAGCCCATTGTTGATGATCCTCAGTCATCCATTTAACTGTACCACTAACAACATACAAATATCTCAAAGCTAGATGCAGTAAACTTTACAAAGGATATAATAAAAATATAAACCTCCCAAATAAGCCCATTATGATGTAAGTATTAAAAACCCCAAATGATTATCATAGGCTTCTTATGTACTCTACATAATGGCATTGTAGCAGGTTGTGAACGGTTATGTCTTGTCAACTTTAATGGATATGTGTACTCTAAGGGTGTCCTAATATGGATAGTGTAAGTGTAAGAGCTGTGTAGTGTGACCATCAGAGAAAAAGCAAACAAATCACCCATACAACTTAACAGCTTTTATTTGAGCGTTTATTTTATCATTCATGGGGAGCAGACATTTTCTAACATGACCAGATGACATGAACTCGATTTTAGTAACGATTTCCTTTGACAAGAAAAGTATGACAGTTATTGGCCTAGCTAAATAGTGCATTTGTCAAAAAATACAAACTGGCAACAAATGTAAAAAAAAAAATATATTGCCTATTTGTTGATATTTACATTATAGTATATACAGTCATATCGGTATACACATGATAATGACATAATAAATAACTGATTCATTGATCAAAGCGTTCATCAAGGCTTAGGGGCTTGACAGGTCCAACTTGTAGTGTCCGGGTGGTAGACAAACTCCTCCCTGGAGAAACAAAGAAAAATGTGGTCAGAATCTGTCTAACATCATGCCATAAATGATATAGATCATGGGTTTTATTGTTACTGTATGACTATTAATGTTGTTATGATTTAGATAGACCTCTGCTGCACAGGAGGCTGCTGAGGGGAGAACAGTTCATAATAACGTCTGGAACGGAGCAAATGGAATGGAAACCATGTGTTTGATGTATTTGATACCATTCCACTCATTCCGCTCCAGTCATTACCACAAGCCCGTTCTCCCCAATTAAGGTACCACCAGCCTCCTGTGCTCTGCTGTCATTCTTAAGTCATTTATTGTATGCTCACTCTCTCCATTTGGGCTCAACAGCGCCACGACACAGCAGGCCTTCATCACATGGGCAGATCTGGTTGATGCTGAATGCTAGGCCGCCTTCGGGCACAAAGCAGCCCACGCCTCGCATCAGACGCCGCTTACACAACTGCTCACCATGGTAACGGGCACAGCACATAGACTCGCCGCAGTCCCTGTCCACTTTACACCTAGCACCTAGACAAGACAGAGCCAAAAGTGAATAATTTAATGAAAGTGAATAATTTAATTAATGAATTAGTTAATTAATTAATTATACAAATCCCTACTTTATCAATTAGTCAGTAAACATCCTGTCACCCAGTGGTCATCTTGAAACATGTATCTCTTGTATTATTATTTTAAAAGCAGACAGGTCTCTAGACACCCTCCCTTAGTGCCAGCACTCAGTACAGCAAAGAAAGTAGCACAAACATTTTTTTTGCACCATGAGGTACATTTACTTAAATAAAATGTACGGTGTCCCCCACAAATGTTGAAGTGAGTCCTATGCCCTTGTCCCTTAGCCTACCCTCTTGTCCCTCAGGAATGCGGTGGTGGCAATTCCCGAACATGCAGCTGAGTCCTCGGACACACTGGGCGTCCCTCCTGCAGTACTGCCCGTCCCCACGAAGAGGGAAACAAAGCCCAAAGTGACGGTCACAGAATAAGCTTCGACCACAGGCGCGGTCATGATCACATACACCCTGAAAAACAGAGCAAGAGCTTAGAAACTGGGATAATGATGACACACACTCATAAGCAAATCATTGCATTCACATCTTGTAGAACATATACTCTCTTGAAACAAATATTAAAATAACGGTAATTGTCTTGTTTTATGGGAAATAAAGTGAAAATAAGTTGTGTTATTACAGACTGAGCGAGATGCTGTTGCAATGAGCAGCACCGCAGATATTGAGATGAGAGCGAGTCAAGACCGCTCTCACTCAGTCACGCAGAGTAATTGCACATGCGAAAGCGTGTTAGTTATGGGAGCAAAACAGCTGAGAAGTTTAGCCTCAGGCTTCAATGCTGTTAGATGTTGCGGAAATTGACCCAATATTATGTTTACTTAATGCATGCAACTACGTCGCGCTGATTCTACATTTAAGTTTGCTTAACTGGATTTGAGCTAGTTGAAACCAATGAGGAAAACCAAGAAAGGAAACCAAGGAAGATCAATGATGATACCATTCACAGTGTTGCTGCCCATTTACTGCTGCTGTGATTTAGAGCTATTGTCAGTAGAAGATTGGTGCTCTAAAGTCCTAATTTCTTCTACCACTTACAACACAATACAAACAGAGAAAGCTACTGGAATAGAGTAGCGCCGTCACTAATGAATTGTTAGCGTAATGCTAACACACCATTCACACCACACTAACATGCAAATGTCTATTTACAACTCTGGAGTATTGACGATGGTTGAGCTACTACTGAATAGATCCAGCCTTTATGCTTGACTAAACTACTTCCTGAATCTTTATATGTGTGTGTTTTATTAGCTGGACAACAGATACTTTTAGGATATTGCATTCTTGACCAGATTGACCATGTGAAAATACTGCAAAAGCAGATATACGTGTGTCAATTCAAGCTCAGGTAAAACAGCAAGAGATTATCACATCAGCAATTATCAAATTCAGAAACATTTCAGAACAGGTCAATAGGACAAAACCTGTTTTAGCAAACAAGATGCTTTCAAACTCATAAAAAGGATGGTCTGTGTCTTACCGTGGATCCTTTGGTGTTGGCTGGAGGGGTGCTGTCCCTTAGAGCCATGGTTCCTTTCTTGGGGGGACTGTGGGGCATGTTGAGCATCCAGGCCCAGATACGGCCCTGGGCCAAGGGCATACACAGACAGAGAGACAGGAGCCACAGAATCCTGGTTGACATAGAGAAAGAGAGAATGACAGAGGAAGAGAGAAAAAAGGAGCTTGCCCGAATGCCTTACTGGTAGAGAGTGAGATAGAGAGGGTTTGGAGTTGCAGAAGTATTGAGACAGAGAGTGAAGAGAGTTTTCAAAACTGAGGGTCTCAGCCAGTATAGATGTCCTGTGTGTACAGTCCAGGCAGGAGTGGTTGCTATCAAGCTCCTCTTGTGCCCCATGGCTTATAAAGGCCCTGGAGGCCCCTCTCTCTCCCCCCTGCTATGCTGTTTGTTCATGCCACAATGTGGGAGGAGACAATTAGTGGTTAATGGCTTAACAAAATTGACTGAGACACCCCCTATGACCAGAAAATGATGGCAAAATTATCAGCTGCGGAGGCAGAAAGGGGGAGAGTAGGGGTGTTGGTCCAGGGGTGGGATAATGGGCTTGATGGGTTGACAACATTGACAACAGGGGCCACACAATGGAGCAAGACAGGCACCTCCAAGGCTTATCTCACTCAGACAATCAAGGTGGGGAGTGTGAATACAAAAGCAGACAGACACGACATGTCACAGACTCATGGCCTGGGTCGCTGAGTGGCAGCCCCACAGGCCAATGCGGTTGACCTTGGCTAGTGGCCCTCTGTGCTGGACAAAAACAAGCCGCTTGGTCCCCAGTCCCCCCCCCTGGGAATAATTTGCTTCAGTGCACACTGCAGACGTCCCCCATATCTCATTAAACGTCATTATTGTCAGTGGGGTGGGGATGAGAATCAAACTCCTTGGAACTGGGGGGACAGCTTGCTTTCTCAAGCTGCCATTTAATAGATTTTGTTCCTCTTATGTTTTCCTCCTAACTTTTTCCACATTTCCAGAGTGAGGACACTAATCATACTAATTTGGTTATTGTATATTTACATTTTAGTAATTTAGCAGATGCTCTTATCCAGAGCAACTTACAGTTAGTGAGTGCATACATTTTTCATACAGGCCCCCCGTGGGAAACGAACCCACAACCCTGGCGTTGTAAGCGCCATGCTCTACCAATTGAGCTACAGGAGGTATATGATCAAACTTGATCAAAACAATATTGTTGATTCTAATTATCCCAAATAAAGAAGCAACTGACAAACAAAAATAAAAAGAGGTCTCCTGTGAAGCTCTTTCCTTTGTTGTCACAGTTTTGGGTACTACTAAATGCCTTAAAGATGATGGGCAGTTATGGTTTTGGCCTTGCACGATAGAGGCCAAACTCTCATGTATAATGACCACACCTGTCAAAATCATCAAAAATATTTTCTAATACTTGTTTTGTTTCAATAGCTCAATCAAGCACACCTTCAAATACTTATAGGTATTCGACATAAAAAGTATTTCACCCCTCTGATAATAAAAAAAATGTGTAGCTCGGAAGAGCCATGACAATGAAGTGTGACATATTTGATTCACTATCTCTTAGCAATTATGGGCAGCTAAAGATGTTGTGTGTCCAACCTTAAGCCCTCTATTTGGAAAAAGTCTGACATTTTAATATATGTGTATTTTGAATTAATAAAAGTATTTTCTTTGTCTGTTTACAAAAAAAAATCCGTCTTACAGGTTCCCTTTCTTGACTTTTGATGCAGGAATGTTCATGAATGTTCTTTGCAGCATGGCTACCTGGAGTGAGTTGCTGTCTGTTTCTCTAACATCTGGACTTTTCTTGAGTCACGTCTTTTTTTGGCTTTTCAGTTTTATGCCAGGGCCCAAGTCTGGTTATCTAAGCTCACAGATGCAGATGTTGCTGAATATGTTGTCCGCTCTGTGGGTGACAGTATCAATCTATGTGTTACTCACATATCTGTCACAACTTTACTCACGTATTTGGACAGACTGGAATACAGTGTTTGGCATGAACTTGACTATAACATGATTACTATACTCAATATTTACTATACCCTTTACAGCATAGAGCAGAGATATTTCCTCTCATCCTGACTCCCCGTACTCTCCCTGTCCCTGTCCCGCTTTCTCTTTCTCTACCCTCTTGTCTTTCCCCATCGTTCCATCTTCTAGAGACAGTGCAGTTGATATTTCCTCATATGGTCTGGTATTGGAGGTGGCAATTAATGAGGGACACTCAGCATGCTTGTGTTTGGCCATTTAGCACTAAATGGATAACATCACTAAATCTGCAGTCTTTGGTGCACCAGAGCTTACTGCCTCCCACCTCATTTAGGGAGTCAATTATACTGAACAAAAATATGAAGGCAACATGTAAAGTGCTGGTCCCATGTTTCATGAGCTGAAATAAAATATCCCATACATTTTCCATATGCACAAAAAGCTTATTTATCTCAAAATGTGTGCACAAATGTAATTACATGTGTATTGTTTCAGCATGATAATGCACGGCCCCATGTCGCAATTCCTGGAAGCTGAAAATGGCCTGCATACTCACCAGATATGTCACCCATTGAGCATGTTTGGGATGCTCTGGATCGACGTATACGAAAGCGTGTTCCAGTTCTCGCCAATATCCAGCAACTTCACAGAGACATTGCAGAGGAGTGGGACAACATTCCACAGGCCACAATCAACAGCCTGATAAATTCTATATGAAGGAGATGCCGCGCTGCATGAGGCAAATGGTGGTCCCGCCAGATACTGACTGTTTTTCGGATCCACGACCCTACATCTTTTTAAAAGGTATCTGTGACCAACATATGCATATCTGTATTCTCAGTCATGTGAAATCCATAGATCAGGGCCTAATGCATTTATTTCAATTGACTGATTTCCTTATATGAACAGTAACTCAGTAAAATCTTTGTAATTGTTGCATGTTGCGTTTATATTTTTGTTCAGTATAAATAAAAACAAGAAAAATGAAGTCTCAAAACTCATTGAAACTAAACTGAATTTCAAATAAAAATCTAAAAACTAGTAGAAATAAAAACTAATAGAAAATCACAAAACTAAAATAACCTTGATGTCAGCATAACCACCCGTTGATTCACTTAAATTGATCAATGGCTGGACATGTTGTGTGTTGTTTCTATGTTTCTAATGGTTGTCAGTTTCATCTTCATCAGAGGCTACCATTGCACAGTTGTGTCTCCCTTCAAACTTTCCTTGCCAATTAATTTGATAGGCTAGGCCTACGTTGTTTTAGCTTCATCCTATAGGCCTAATGTAGCTTTCTGATAGCCTACAGCCAGGATTTGAAGGTAGGCCTACACTGTAAAGGGGTTGCCATGAATTTGACAGTATATTACAGGTAGGTCGGTGGCGGGTGAAATTCTATATTTCATATCATAGTACACCTACTGTAATATAAATACGGTACCAAAGCAAGTACTGTGTAATGAGACACAGTACAATACCGTAACATTGACTGTAATATGCTGTAAAAAAGGTTAATGCTACCGTAATAGGAATGAATAAATGAGGGATTGGTGCAAGCAGGTTGGCTGCTAGGTAAAGTGTTTACACATTACAGAATATGAATGAATATTTTGTGTTTTATATCACTTGCACTTCTAGAGGCTTTAACAAAGGCTTCCAAACTGGAAGCGACTACAGGGCAAAACAGACCAAAAGGACATGGCAAAATGCTCAACCATTTAAGGTTTAAGACTTGCTGCCACTCCAATATGTCCCCTATACATTTTACATTTCATGGGGCACTATAACCACATAGGAGTTAAATTGGTACAGCATTCTCACTCATTGGTGCAGTAGCCTCTTACAAGGTATGCCTCAAATATGTTAATGAGCCAGAAACAATAATACCATGCACCCACTAGTGGTCAAAAGGTTTTTGGAGCTCCAAAGATATGGTACTATGAGGTGGAATTACAGTAATATTAGAAATACAGCAATTTTCACACAATGCACCATAATTTACAGTAACACGTTTCAGAGCTTTTTGCCGTTGATAATACAAAAAATTACCTTATAAATTACATTTTTCCGTTACTGTGTAGGCTTTAAATACGATTTTGGGAAATGAGAAATGTGATTTGCTTATGTGTCTGAGATGTTCTGGTGGCTTTCATTGACGGGTCCTTTAAGATGGGGGGGGGAGGGGGGGGGGGGGGGGACGACGACTCCATGTCTTTAATCAGATAGAAAGAAGGACTGGTAAAACTGAAATAAGCATAACAAAAAGTGAAGGCAAGTGTCAATGATGATGTAACTGAAGAAAATGTTGTTCCTTTCATAATTTAATCATCTTAGAATATTTTCAGTCGTTTAGGCTATATTATGTCTTTCTCTTTATGGCGTAGCCTACTCTCTAGCCACTTTAAACAACTTATTGCCACTGCCTACTCGAAAGCAAGAGAATGACCACAGCAGCAGGCATTTGTGACATTATGCGAATATTTCTGAAAAGTGGGGGCAAAATGCATCGAACTTTGTGTGAATGGTTTTGTGCTTCGAAATCGGAATCCGTATTTTTTTGGAATTCTGACAACAACAAAAAACCCAGCTGGTGGGAAAAGGCCTTTACTCTGGTACCAGGGAGTTGAGTTCTCATCCTTGGTGGTTACCTGGTTTGTCATTCCCCTCCAAAAATTAAACAATTGTATTATAATACTATTGTTGTAGGATTATTGTAATAGTTTTATAATATTGTATGACTTTATTTATTGTTGATGGATATCTGTAAATGATTCAGTTGGCAAGTGAAAAGTAGCCTCCCACTGGGCACACACTGGTTGAATCAATGTTGTTTCCACGTCATTTCAATGAAATTACACTGAACCAACGTGGAATACATGTTGAATTGACATCTGTGCCCAGTGGGCTACTCTTGAAAAGTGGACTGCGTACAATCAGTAAAATTTGAGCACAATTCAAGACACCTTGTCATTTGTAGGAATCAAATCAAATTGTATTTGTCACATGCACCGAATACAAAGGGTGTAGACTTTACCGTGAAACGCTTGCTAACGAGCCCTTCCCTACAATGCAGAGTAAAAAATTATAGTAGTAACACAACAGGAATAAAATAAACAAGAATTAAGCTATATACAGGGAGTACCAGTACCAGATCAATGTGCAGGTGTACGAGGTATTTTAGGTAGATATGTACATAAAGGCAGGGTAAAGTGACTAGGCATCAGAATAGATAATAATAAGAGTAAAGAACAGAGTAGCATATGACGAGTGTGAAAGTGTGTGTTTGTTGTGGTTGCTAACCAACTGTAAATAACTTTATTTAGCTAGGGAGAAACAATTCACTTATTTACAGTTAGTTACTGTAGCTGCTGCATCAGTCTTTGCTCCATATTTACATTTAAGTCATTTAGCAGACACTCTTATCCAGAGCGACTTACAGTTAGTGAGTGCATACATTTTCATACTGGCCCCCCGTGGGAAACGAACCCACAACCCTGGCGTTGCAAGTGCCATGCTCTACCAACTGAGCTACAAGGGACCATATATAATGCTGCCTCCCAAAAATGCATGTTGTCTCCACTTACAAACATCAAAATCAAAATGTATGTTGTCTCCACTTACAAACATCAAAATCAAAATGTATGTTGTCTCCACTTACAACATCAAAATCAAAATGTATGTTGTCTCCACTTACAAACATCAAAATCAAAATGTATGTTGTCTCCACTTACAAACATCAAAATCAAAATGCATGTTGTCTCCACTTACAAACATCAAAATCAAAATGTATGTTGTCTCCACTTACAAACATCAAAATCAAAATGTATGTTGTCTCCACTTACAACATCAAAATCAAAATGTCCAACTGTTTTAATTTTGAGGTTTGCAACAGCTCTACTTTCCAAGCGTTTGGGCTGCAAGACTTCTAGCCTATAGACACATTTTCAGTTGAGGTCATATTTATTTTTATGTTGTAGCCTTTCTCTATCTGAAATTGTTTTCTGTCTCTGCTTCTGGTAGTCAAGCCCCTTATCAAAACACATTGACGTACCCTAATGACGTGTAAATGACTGCACTTTGTGGTCCATCAACAGATAATAAAACAGATACTGTTTCAATTAGCAACGTGCAAATACTTGGCAGATTTAGCCATTGTAACACAAGGCCATAGATTGTGTGTATTGAACAATAGTAGGAGTCTGTGTACACAATTAGAATGGATGTGCCCAGAATTTGAGAATACCAAGATCTCCATTGCTAAATTTCTGTTGAATTGGCAGATATGATTTGCCAATGTTAACCTGCATAGGGCCTCCATTTGGTATTATATGTTATAGTTGTGTCATCCTATCCCCAAAACGCAATATCTTTGAGGTGTGATGAAAAAATTATTATTTAATCTATATATCCCTCTATCCCTTCTCTTCCTCTCTCACTATATCTATCTCTATATCACTCTATCTCTAATGAGCTGGTCATAGCGGTCAATATTTGGAAAGGTCTGGGCCTGATCTTATCAGTGGGCTGTTTTGCACACAAGCAAGGGTGCCTCAACAATGGAATTACAAGCCTTACTACGACTCCCACTCCCCTCCTCTATCACGTCGCTCCACGCACACAAATCTGATATAGCCACCCTCACCAGCTATAGTATATCTACACTCAGGCACACACACACACACACACACACACACCAGTTGAGTTATCCCCAATCTCCAGCCAGATAACTGTCTCCAAACATTCTTGGCGACATACCCCCCACCTTTCTCCTCCCTCCCCAGTGTTAATGACTGTGTTCGTAATAAACGTGGTTGCTGTCACAATCAACACTGCGGTCACACTCCCAATTAGGCAATAACAAATAGAGCCAGGCAGGGTGATTTGTCCATTGTAATGTACCTTGACCCCTGGGGGGAGAACTAAATGGAAGGGGCATGTTTGTATTCAGCATTGAAATGAATGGTAAATCATGTATTGTGTCATTTTGGAGTCACTTTTATTGTAATTCAAAATATAATATGTTTCTAAACACTTCTACGTTAATGTGGCTGCAACCATGACTACGGATAGTTCCTGAATAAATAGTGAATAATGATGAGTGAGAAAGTTACAGACACACAAATATCATATCCCCAAGACATGCTAACCTCTCA